TATACATCAATATATAACCAATCATTGTTGGTAGTATACATCAATATATACCTGTATACATCAATATATAACCCAATCATTGTTGGTAGTGTATACATCAATATATAACCAATCATTGTTGGTAGTGTATACATCAATATATAACCAATCATTGTTGGTAGTGTATACATCAATATATAACCCAATATATAACCAATCATTGTTGGTAGTCAATATACCTGTATACATCAATATATAACCAATCATTGTTGGTAGTGTACCTGTATACATCAATATATAACCAATCATTGTTGGTAGTGTATACATCAATATATAACCCAATCATTGTTGGTAGTGTACCTGTATACATCAATATATAACCAATCATTGTTGGTAGTGTACCTGTATACATCAATATATAACCAATCATTGTTGGTTGTGTATCATTGTTGGTATATATACATCAATATATAACCAATCATTGTTGGTAGTGTACCTGTATACATCAATATATAACCAATCATTGTTGGTAGTGTACCTGTATACATCAATATATAACCAATCATTGTTGGTAGTGTATACATCAATATAAATATATAACCAATCATTGTTGGTAGTGTATACATCAATATATAACCAATTATTGTTGGTAGTGTATACATCAATATATAACCAATCATTGTTGGTAGTGTATACATCAATATATAACCAATCATTGTTGGTAGTGTATACATCAATATATAACCAATCATTGTTGGTAGTGTGTATACATCAATATATAACCAATCATTGTTGGTAGTGTATACATCAATATATACATCATTGTTGGTAATATATAACCAATCATTGTTGGTAGTGTACCTGTATACATCAATATATAACCAATCATTGTTGGTAGTGTACCTGTATACATCAATATATAACCAATCATTGTTGGTAGTGTACCTGTATACATCAATATATAACCAATCATTGTTGGTAGTGTATACATCAATATATAACCAATCATTGTTGGTAGTGTATACATCAATATATAACCAATCATTGTTGGTAGTACATCAATATATACCAATCATTGTTGGTAGTGTATACAATATATAACCAATCATTGTTGGTAGTGTATACATCAATATATAACCAATCATTGTTGGTAGTGTACCTGTATACATCAATATATAACCAATCATTGTTGGTAGTGTATACATCAATATATAACCAATCATTGTTGGTAGTGTATACATCAATATATAACCAATCATTGTTGGTAGTGTATACATCAATATATAACCAATCATTGTTGGTAGTGTATACATCAATATATAACCAATCATTGTTGGTAGTGTACCTGTATACATCAATATATAACCAATCATTGTTGGTAGTGTATACATCAATATATAACCAATCATTGTTGGTAGTGTATACATCAATATATAACCAATCATTGTTGGTAGTGTATACATCAATATATAACCAATCATATATACATCAATATATAACCAATCATTGTTGGTAGTGTATACATCAATATATAACCAATCATTGTTGGTAGTGTATGTATACATCAATATATAACCAATCATTGTTGGTAGTGTACCTGTATACATCAATATATATATAACCAATCATTGTTGGTAGTGTATACATCAATATATAACCAATCATTGTTGGTAGTGTATACATCAATATATAACCAATCATTGTTGGTAGTGTATACATCAATATATAACCAATCATTGTTGGTAGTGTATACATCAATATATAACCAATCATTGTTGGTAGTGTATACATCAATATATAACCAATCATTGTTGGTAGTGTACCTGTATACATCAATATATAACCAATCATTGTTGGTAGTGTACCTGTATACATCAATATATAACCAATCATTGTTGGTAGTGTATACATCAATATATAACCAATCATTGTTGGTAGTGTGTATACATCAATATATAACCAATCATTGTTGGTAGTGTATACATCAATATATAACCAATCATTGTTGGTAGTGTACCTGTATACATCAATATATAACCAATCATTGTTGGTAGTGTATACATCAATATATAACCAATCATTGTTGGTAGTGTATACATCAATATATAACCAATCATTGTTGGTATACATCAATATATACCAATCATTGTTGGTAGTGTATACATCAATATATAACCAATCATTGTTGTATACATCAATATATAGTGTATACATCAATATATAACCAATCATTGTTGGTAGTGTATACATCAATATATAACCAATCATTGTTGGTAGTGTATACATCAATATATAACCTGTATACATCAATATATAACCAATCATTGTTGGTAGTGTATACATCAATATATAACCAATCATTGTTGGTAGTGTGTATACATCAATATATAACCAATCATTGTTGGTAGTGTACCTGTATACATCAATATATAACCAATCATTGTTGGTAGTGTACCTGTATACATCAATATATAACCAATCATTGTTGGTAGTGTATACATCAATATATAACCAATCATTGTTGGTAGTGTATACATCAATATATAACCAATCATTGTTGGTAGTGTATACATCAATATATAACCATTCATTGTTGGTAGTGTATACATCAATATATAACCAATCATTGTTGGTAGTGTACCTGTATACATCAATATATAACCAATCATTGTTGGTAGTGTATACATCAATATATAACCAATCATTTTCGGCTGTGTGTCGGTATTCAATAAATCAGGTATGATTGATTGTGTGCTTAAATTATATTTTTTCAGTTTTTGTTCAGGGATGATGTACAAGAATTTCTTCACGACCTCGAAAGCAACTAGGCATCCAACATGTTAATATCATCATTATCCAAACTCAAACTCAAGAACACTATGGCAAACTATTACAATAAGACCAGTATCTCAGGAAGAGTAAGCGTCTTCTGTTTCATCAACAACACCCACCGTGTAAATATTGGTCAATCGAAGTAAGTAGTGCCACGTAAATAACGTATACAGAAACGGAACCAACAACCTCATTAACGAACAATAAACACGTCCAGCTTCATACTGCGCTAAGAAATAAATATTTCTCAATGAGATCACAATTACGAACGTAAAAGTTCACTTTACTTTTCATCAAACTATATATAAATACTTTTAAAGAAAAATAACGTATTGTAATAACAGAGGTATTTTATAAATAAGACATTTCATAGACCTTCAAGTTACTTCAACTTCGACGATATCCATACAACACTTTCTTTGTAAGTGATACAGATGAGAGATATGTCGTCGATGTTCATAATCGAGTTAAAACATATTCTTTTTTCACTCTTCAACATTTTTTGTTCATTTCCTTTCTTCTCGAAACATGAATATCTTAAACAGTTGCTATAGTGATAGGGAGCTCGGAAGATACTGAAATTGAATATTTGTATGTAGTGTAGATGCTAAAATCCCGATAAATGCACGTTATGTTCATTCCTGAAGGTTTTGTCTTTCATTCAGATTAATGCAAACTAGAAATATTATTTCATAATCATATTTGAAATCCATTTTTTTGAATTAACATGAAAACAAGATACCTTTGACCTCTAATTTTGCTATAGAAGACTTACCATCCGATTACGTCATTTGGTCTTACAGTTATAGTCGACCCAGCTCCCACTGTTAAAGTTTGTTCCGCCAATTGGTCATCTGTCGGTTAGATAAAATCACATATAGATAACACAATCAATGAAAAGATTTGAAATAGTAGCAACACGTTATTTACAGTAAGCATTAGAGCAGTCGTCTCATTCAAGCGCTTTTCGGACTGAGAGTATTGCGCTAAATCATTCGGACCGTTGTCTTATTTGATCTTATTTTAGGTTTTAGAACAATTGGGAAGGATCATATATCGTTTGTTTCTTCAAGTTAGTACTTAAATGTAATTGTAACAAACTGAGAACGTTCAGTATATTGTGTTTAATTATCTATATGAAATATAAAGGAACATATATTTAAATGTAAGTATTTTATGTCAATCACCATCAAATATTATAAAGAAAAAAACATGCCGCAGATCAAACGCTCCAGTTATAATTAATACACTCTAAACGAAACCATTAAAGTGCCCTTTCAAAATAAGAAAGAGTTTGTAGTGACATGGTATTTTCGCTATCGCGAGGTACATTAACGCGATCACTAAAATTTAATCCGTGAAATAATAAAACACCAGTGTGTTTGATGTAATTTTTTACGCCGAGATAACGAAATTTTATTTTTAGAAAAAATGTTTCGATTTTTTTACAGGAAAATAACGAAATTTTTGACCCGTGATAATTAACAGTACTGTATTATGATGATACAAGTGCAATCTATATAGTTATGTTTATTTTTCACAAACCAACACAAAATCCATTACGATATCTTAATACAAGTGTACTTTATATAATCCTAATACTTATTTTTATCAATTGTTACTAATAAGTTGATACACAATCCATTATGAGATTTTAATAAGAATGTACCATTTATTACATAGTAAGAAACAAATAACGATGACGTCACACTAAACTGGCATCCACACCATCTTACTAACAATTTACTTCCTTGTCTTTATCGATGAGGTTGCAGTAAAATCATTTATTTTTCCCAGTGAGCTAGAATTTCGTGTGTTTATTTTAAATTTCCATACAACGTTGATTTCGTGGATACATATTCATAATTGTCATTAATGTTTATTTATGTATTTCATATGTAAATTGTACCCAACTAAACAACGAAAATCACTATTTCACGCAAATTAATATTTATACAGTATGACTAATTTAATAGTATCGAGCCAAATAAAGGTCGAAGAAGTGACGATGAGAGTTTCTTCCGGATAAAAGGGTCAATATAATAGCACTATTTATGGCCATTCATTAATAAAAATATAACAGGTCGATAAATCTCAATTATATCAAGTAAATATGTACTATTAATATAATGTCCATTAATGTTAAATGTGTACATAATTGGTTAATCGAATACGAGGCTAATACTTACTTGTATTGAAGGTAAATATATTTTCGCCTACAAGGTCATAATTAGCTCCATTTGGTCGCCATATTTGAAATCGAATTGTACCTAAAGCACTAATAACAGTATGCCACTTGGTGACAAGTCCACAGCAGTCAAATGTATACTTTGTATCCGTGGTTAGATACCCAACACCTTGACATAAAAAAGGAATACTTCAGTGTTGATAACGGTAAATATCTCACCATAAACTATGTACATATACACAATAAGCACATGTATTGATGAACACATGTACATATACACAATGAACTCATGTATTAATGACCATAAACTCTGTACATATACACAATGAACACATGTATTGATCGTAAATATCTCACCATAAACTCTGTACATATACACAATGAACACATGTATTGATGACGTAAATATCTCACCATAAACTCTGTACATATACACAATGAACACATGTATTGATGACGTAAATATCTCACCATAAACTCTGTACATATACACAATGAACACATGTATTGATGACGTAAATATCTCACCATAAACTCTGTACATATACACAATGAACACATGTAGTGATGACAGTAAATATCTCACTATAAACTCTGTACATATACACAATGAACTCATGTATTGATGACGGTGAATATCTCACCATAAACTCTGTACATATACACAATGAACTCATGTATTGATGACGTAAATATCTCACCATAAACTCTGTACATATACACAATGAACACATGTATTGATGTACATATACACAATGAACTCATGTATTAAATATCTCACCATAAACTCTGTACATATACACAATGAACTCATGTATTGATGACGTAAATATCTCACCATAAACTCTGTACATATACACAATGAACTCATGTATTGATGACGGTAAATATCTCACCATAAACTCTGTACATATACACAATGAACACATGTATTGATGACGTAAATATCTCACCATAAACTCTGTACATATACACAATGAACACATGTATTGATGACGTAAATATCTCACCATAAACTCTGTACATATACACAATGAACACATGTATTGATGACATAAATATCTCACCATAAACTCTGTACATATACACAATGAACACATGTATTGATGTAAATATCTCACCATAAACTCTGTACATATACACAATGTAAATATCTCACCATAAACTCTGTACATATATACAATGAACTCATGTATTGATGACGTATATATCTCACCATAAACTCTGTACATATATACAATGAACTCATGTATTGATGACGTAAATATCTCACCATAAACTCTGTACATATACACATACACACACTCATTGAGTGTTGACCAATTCAAATGTCCTCTTTTGTTTTTTTAAACAAATTTTAAATGACAAAACAACGGTATGATGCATTTAAATTCCTAGTTTGACCCTAGTATATACTCGTATATCACTTACCTGTTGATGCTGTATCGAGATTGTCTACGACAGTTGCGGGACTGGCTTCTCCGACAATCTTTGTACCACATGATTGAGAGGCCACTGGAACGATAAGTGTTTGATCGTGTTATTTTAGTCTATCGTATGCGCACTTAATCAAAATTATTATTCACACATTTTCCATTACATTCATATTGCTATGCATTCAATCAGAAACGACGAGAAAATGTCGACATGTTTTCATAGATTTAAATTCACTTTCAAAATAGATGAAACAATTGAAAAAATAAGACTTTTATCAAAGAAAAGGTGGAAGAAAAAGTAGAATAAATCGGAACGGTAAGTGTCTTCGGTCTCATCGACTACACCTGCCATGTAAACATTGACCAATAAAGTCAACTAGAGGCATTCGAAATCACCAGGACTTCTGTCTACTTAAATATATTATATATATTCGTAAAATTCCACTCAGTACACATTTAGACACTTGTGGCAAGGGACTATTCTGGGTGTACCCTTTCCATAAGATGTCCGATTCAAGTACAACAAAGAGACTATGCAAAGAGGACATGTTTGTCAAACTCTTCAAGACGGCACTAAATGCTAATTAATTAGTGTCGTTACGCCTTAAAAATATTAATAACGTCATTATCTTCCCTTATATATTATTGTTTACATTACGTCATAATGTTGTTACCAAGACATTAAAGTATTCGCCTGAAGGTAGCCGAGACACGACTTGAAAACGTTAGCGATAATCAAGTTTATTTGCCTTGTTGGCCTTTTATGTTTACATATTTAAACGATACACAATGTTCTCATCTAATTGAACTATATATATATATATAGTGACACAGTCCAGAATATACACATCTTCTTCTGAAACAGCAAAAATATAACAAAAATTAAAAGACCGGAAAACACGATGAGCTGTAAAACATAAGCGCTTTCATTTCTTCAGATGTTTTACATAATGTACATAGATACAATTGTGACGTCATTAATAATGCAGTTCAATAGTGACGTCATATTTATAAGGGAGATAATAAAAGTACAATTGATAATTCTAGGTTAAACTATTTAGTTTGGGATTGAAGGACATTTCCTTGGTGTTTTTTGACACAAATTTGAGTTGTGATCATACATAATATATAATATGCCAAGTGAGCTACAACTGAAAATGGTTCTCTCAGTGGCAGTAATTCTTATTCATCTTTATCCCATGTGCTTTTGGAAAGCATCAGCACAATGCAAATAATTACTGAAACGTTATATACTGTATATAGGTTGATTAAATCAAAATGTATTACAAAATAGTAGCTGATTTCTTGATTAAACAGAACATATCTACATAATGAATGATCCAGTGGCTGATCAAGTTTTGTATTTTGAGATATAAACTAATCACTAAATGATGTCGTAAATACTGGCCATCGATTGCACTCATCACAATACTTGCTTTCTCCGACAGTTATGAATTTTACTGTATCTATCAACATAATTTTCAAATTATTCATTAAATGAAAAACATGTACAAAATTTAAAAAAAAAATGACCCATTTTGAGACGATTCTTGTAAAGGCGACATGAAAAGTTTTCCATGGACGTGGTATCCTAAGTTTAATTAGTATGTGTGATACTCATCGCCGAAATATGACTATTATTAGTATCTTACAAATATATTTTAAGAAAAGTTATCATATAAAGGTGACGTGAAATTCAACTTACCTTTACCTATACACAGCCAAACCAATATTAGAGAAACAAGCATCGCTATTTGTCTTGCTCAATGATCCTCCATGAAGGATAAAACACGGTATGTGTCATGTTTATCTGTACGTCAGTTATCTACTTTGATGATTCGGTATAAATTTACAAATCAATGGATATGAAATCGTTCCACTTGATCACACCTTGGGAATCACACTCACACTAGTTATGCAATACCATAAAACATTAGTAATTTAAAACGAATCCCTATTTTCTTATAAAAAAAATGGTAAAACTGTCTTTATATTTGAATGTTTGTAAACGAAATCAATATCTTATATTTTATTAAGATCATATAAAAGATATAAAAAAACGACTTAATACAGTTCTATACGGACAAAAAGACAGTTCTCTATGAACCAATAGACAGTTCTATATGGACAAATAGACAGTTCTATACGGACAAATAGACAGTTCTATTAGCACAAATAGACAGTCCTATACGGACAAATAGACAGTCCTATACGGACAAATAGACAGTTCTATACGGACAAAAAACAGTTCTATAAGGACAAATAGACAGTCCTATAAGGACAAAAGACAGTTCTATAAGGACAAATATATAGTTCTATATGGACCAATAGACAGTTCTACAAGGGCAAATAGATAGTCCAATACGGACAAAAGACAGTTCTACAAGGACAAATATATAATTGTATATGGACAAATAGACAGTTCTATACGGACAAATAGACAGTTCTATAAGGACAAATAGACAGTTCTATATGGACCAATAGACAGTTCTATACGAACAAAAAGACAGTTCTATATGGACAAATAGACAGTTCTATACGGACAAATAGACAGTTCTATATGGACAAATAGACAGTCCTATACGGACAAAAAGACAGTTCTATATGGACAAATATACAGTTCTATATGGACCAATAGACAGTTCTATACGGACAAAGAGACAGTTCTATACGGACAAATAGACAGTTCTATATGGACAAATAGACAGTCCTATACGGACAAAAAGACAGTTCTATATGGACCAATAGACAGTTCTATACGGACCAATAGACAGTCCTATACGGACAAATAGACAGTTCTATACGGACCAATAGACAGTTCTATACGGACAAATAGACAGTTCTATACGGACAAAAAGACAGTTCTATACGGACCAATAGACAGTCCTATACGGACAAATAGACAGTTTTATACGGACCAATAGACAGTCCTATACGGACAAATAGACAGTTCTATACGGACAAATAGACAGTTCTATACTTATGTTTTATCAACTTTACCTATATCAGGTTTCATGTTGTGTACGACATCTTTTTATATATAAAGATCTTTATGACTTGTACATACACAAAGTCTGTCCTGTACCTTAAAATCTTTCTTATAGTTCAGTTTTATGTAAATTCTGTTTATCATTATCCTGAATAGATGTAATTCAGACTGCTAGGCGTTCCCGTCCTTCACTAAAATGTTAAGGTTATTTGGCTCGCTGATTTAAGGAAATTTACTACTGACAGACGTCTACAAGAAGAATACAGTATAAGTTATGCATCCCACGGAGCAGGCGTTCACCCTATTTACACAAGCGTGAATTCACGCACGCTTCCATACACTTTAATCTATAAAAGGTCACGCTGTATATACGTACACGATGTCCCATCTCAACAAAACAAGAAACTCCGTCAGCTTTATAACCCGCACCTTATCTATTGCTCTGTTGTTAAAGGTTACTTTTAGACATATATTCTAAGCTTATTATACCTCAGTTTTCAGACCTGGCTATAAGTTTGAGGAAAGATTTAATACACCACATCTAATTACATAAGCTATGTACATGTAATACACATATGTTAATTTGAGCATTTTATTCATTAATTAATAAAATGAAGGACTATTTTTTTTTATCTGAAACTGTTTTTGACTTGAAATTATGAAAAATTTAACTTTGCTTAAGCGTGCTATGCTTTTCAAATTTTGATTGATGATATATACAACCCAAACACGTAGAGTTTTAATATTGTCAACATGTTATAAAGAAGTGATACCTTTATAAAATACACATGAGTAAATTTATTTATTTACATATATTTGAAATCGATTTAAAGCAGTGTATGAACCGATTTCAATGTGACATATTCCTGAGAAGAAATAAACAGATATTCCAATGTTAGAAATATATAAACAGTTCTATCTATCGTACATCAAAACAACTTGCTCTGAACTTAATCATATTAGTCAATCTTGATAACCCTAATGGAAAATTCGAAACCTTTGGACCATCTTTACATCCGTCACTTTAAAATACACCACAAACCATGGACCGCAATGTAATACAGCCAGACCTATGCTAAATCAAAGTTATGGACATGTTTGTCATATCAAAACCCTTAGAAATCTTTTTGATCAATCAAAGTCTACAGAAATCAAAAGATGAAATCTCCAAGCAGATTCTATGAATCATATTTACCTTCATTTCTTCTCCGACCATTAAGCCGATCATGAAACGTCGGACAAGCGAACATATGCCAGAAAAAACAGTGTGAAAAGATAAATCCGTTTAGATTTTGTGTGACAAGTATTTTCTACAGTCAAACAACTAAAAATTGTTTTAAGTCTGACGCTGTACAACCACTATTTTACAGAACGGCCACACTTGTAACAATTGTTGTAGGTCTGACGCTGTAAAACCACTATTTTATAAAACGGCCACACTTGTAACAATTGTTTTAAATCTGACGCTGTACAACCACTATTTTATAAAACGGCCACACTTGTAACTATTGTTGTAGGTCTGACGCTGTAAAACCACTATTTTCTAAAAAGGCCACACTTGTAACTATTGTTGTAGGTCTGACGCTGTAAAACCACTATTTTCTAAAAAGGCCACACTTGTAACAATTGTTGTAGGTCTGACGCTGTAAAACCACTATTTTCTAAAACGGCCACACTTGTAACAATTGTTTTAAATCTGACGCTGTACAACCACTATTTTATAAAACGGCCACACTTGTAACAATTGTTGTAGGTCTGACGCTGTAAAACCACTATTTTCTAAAACGGCCACACTTGTAACAATTGTTTTAAATCTGACGCTGTACAACCACTATTTTATAAAACGGCCAAACTTGTAACAATTGTTTTAAATCTGACGCTGTACAACCACTATTTTATAAAACGGCCACACTTGTAACAATTGTTTTAAATCTGACACTGTACAACCACTATTTTCTAAAACGGCCACACTTGTAACAATTGTTTTAAATCTGACGCTGAGCAACCACTATTTTACAGAACGGCCACACATGTAACAATTGTTTTAAATCTGGCGCTGTACAACCACTATTTTATAAAACGGCCACACT